CTGGATGAGCAAGCTTTCGAAATCATTTCTTCGCTATGTCCAAATTTGGAAAAGGTAATTGTTTATCTGTCTGTGTGTATGTGTATCTGTATGTGTGTGTGTGTGCGTTTTTTTTTTTGTGTGTCTGTGTTTTCTTTATGAACCGTATTTTTCCATAGTTTGGCCCTAATATCCCAGTTTTCTGGTATTCCCATGGTGCCCGAGAGTTAAATGTTAAGTAACTTTCGGAGACAGGGACCATTGACAGTTGGTTGCTGTTGGCACTTGCTACTACTACCGTTCTGCTGTTTCTCGAGGATCTCCGATTCTCACAGAAATCAAATTCAGAGTGAGATTTTTGGCATTTTGACATAAGTTGTTTGAATTCGCTCAAAAATGTGTATTACTAGTATTCCAGGAATTGTTACCGAAAGTGTTTATAAGGCGATATTAGCAAAAAAAAGACTGTTTGCGTGAATTCTGAAGAGAAGAGAGAGTATGTGCGTAACAGAAGTGAAGGCCAGTGAAATGCTGGACTCTGCATAATTTGCCTTATTTTAGGGGAGGGCGACGAAAAAGGATTCGTTGTGGTACACGAGGTAGAGGTAGGATTGTATGAGGTAGACTGTATGTTTTGAGATCGGATTTTGTGAGGGGTATTCTTGTGGCCTGAATGATGCAGTAGTAACGAGATTTATATAAAATTTATCGCACTGAGCCGGAATTTTGCCTCGCAACAGATTCTGGAAATGAGGGAAATGAATTTCCTCCTTCTCAGGGAGTTTTGCGTATAAGTACTGGAAAATTTGGAATGCTACTAAATTGCTAATGAAAATAATGAAGTTTTGTGGGGAACGAGAAATGAGTGATTTAAATTTAGATATTTTATGGTTATGAAAAAAGTCGTAAAAAGATATTTGTTGGGACTGAGTTTTATGTTTTGCAAGGACAAGTTTTGTGTTTTTTCTTTTTTTCAGGTAAATATCTCGGGACTTAGTGGTCACTGGCGTGCAATGCGTACGTTTGGCGAACCACTTGTAAATCTACGATCCATTACATACAAAGATATGGTAAATGCAAGCGAAAAAGCTTTGTGGTATCTGTTTAAGCCAATCGGCATGAACATGCAACATGTTGATCTCCGTGGTTGTCGACGTTTCAAAGGGCGTTGCTTCCGATTATTTGGCGATGCACTGGAAAATGTACGCATCATTCATCACTAGATGAGTTAAAAATCTTTGCAAAATATGTTGCGATAATTGAGATAAAGAATACAGCATGGATATTTTAGGTTCAGAGATGAGTGGGTGAAATTGTTAGAATAGCACTGAAGGTGAAAAGGAGAGGGGGGG